CCTCATCACAGTGTCCCAGTGTTTTTTTACGCACTCACACCGCCAGGATCCTCACAGAGACGCTGTAGCGTCTCTCCTGTTGGGTAGACCTGGCATCTTATGTGAACACCATCACAGTTCCCTAAGGAATCGGACCACACTGGCACACTGGAAAGTGTTTCACTTAGTGTCTTTGTTCTGTGCTTCCCTGACTTAACTGCAACCGGGAAGTTCATAAAGAACAGACCTCTGCTCTTTGCTTTTTGGGAGACTAGTGTAAGGTTGAGGGGTTTATGGGTTAAGGCTGAAGGGCTCCCACTTGTGAGAACCTTCTTGGAGGACTAAGCCACAGCAGAAGGAAGCATCCACACCTGCAAGATGGAAGGGGCCCCAGGCTATGCTTTTCAGGAGCCTACTGTGCAACAGCAAACCCTGTCTCATGAGGATGGGATGCATCCATTCACAAGAGTAAAGCTCCGTTTTTCCACTCTATTAACTTAGAGATAAGTTTCTAATGCATGAACCCTGAAGGGACATTCAAACCACTGCAGTTTGTGGTGCTTATGAAAGAAAGCTGTCTGTTTTCAGATGAATGACTGCACACTCCTCTGACTCCTTCTGAGAATGCACTTCATAGCACAGTTTTGGCATCTTCTGTGAAGGACTAGTAGAAGTGTGGCATTGAAGATAAGCAGATCTTACATCAAACTGTTCCTGTAATGAAAAAATTAAACCGGTCTGAATCTTTGATGGTTTAGGAAGAAGCAAAAGAATATATTGGCAATTATTTGCTATTATTCCAGACACAGGAAATTTTCAAGAGGTGTTCTTTCATTTCTCCTTGATGACTACCAGAGAATATTTTAAAATGTATAGCAATCTTACCTGTACTCTCAATTGTCCAAATTCATCTGGATCCTGCCCATTCACTCATTCTACAGGGTAGTGAAATGTTGTCTTTTAAATGTTGTCTAGTCACACAGTAGAGTAGTTTCTGGCTGCCCCAGGGGTAAGGCCCTTGTTAATCAGAATCTACCTCCCTGAAGCAGGTGTGTCCAGCAGTGGTCCCCTATCCTGCCTAAATATCTGCAGCCAGAAGAAAGGGCTGACCCTTGTAGCTGGTTTTTTGTGTCACTCAGTGCTGCTTAATAATATTTTCATCTTAATCCACGTGTATTCAGAAGAGCACTAAAATAATGCCTGACACTCCACACTAAAGTTTGACTGTATCCCACCACCAGACAACACAGTATCTGTGTTGTCTTCTAGTTATTTCCTGTATGATCACTACGTGTGTAGGGGTAGAGAATAAAGCTGAGTTCTGCAATGTTTCCTGTGTTACGAGTAATCCATGCCCTTTTAAGTGTGGTGGACTCGTTACGTTCCCTTGTTTACACCCTGGCTCTCAGTCCTGCCAGGGCTCCCCTGCCTACCTCGTTGACTCCTCCAGGGTGGTCAGTATCAGCCTGTGTGCCCTCTCCATCCCCACACCAGCACACCCAGGTGTGGAGTGCTCCCACTGTGTCATTTGTGTTTATCTTTAATAAAAATGGGCTAACTAGGCCTTTCTCTGTGGTTTTTCCTTGAGTGATCTTTAAGCTCCCTTGAGGCACAGATGTTGCTGGAGCCAGAATCAGACTCCTCTTCTGCTGTGCAGGGCCAGCTTGTGACACAGGAGTCTCTGCTGTCTCCAGCAGTTGTGAGTTTCCCAGTGCTCAGGGGCATCTCTGGGACTCACATCTGGACCAGCTGTCAAGGCTGAATCACGGTCCTGTGCATTTCCCTGTTCCTCTAAATCCTTGTTACAGGAACGGATGGGTCCACATGCCTTTCCTTTGGAGCCAGTCTGCTCAGTTGTCTAGTTACATGGCGACATGAGAGTCAGAGGCAGAAGACCTAAAGCATTGGATGTGGCGGTCCACGTGTTTGTCGGCCTGGACTCAGATGGGGAAAGTGATGGTTTTTCATTCATCAGACCGAGCTACCTCTTAGTTATACAGAAGAATTTTCCAGCTACTGATTATCAGCCCCTCTGTGTCTCATGTACCTGTCCTTCATTTTCATTGCTTAAACATACAACTGTTCTACCAGAGGGCAGATGCAAGATGTGGAGTATAAAATTCACACCCATCCATCCTAGTTAGAAATGTCTAAATAAGAATATTGACGGAGCACAAAACAGTCACAGCGCGGAGTAAAGTCAAGCAAGGAAGGAAACAGTGCCTTGTCTAGGATGACACGTTTCTCCCCCTTGGAAAGACAGTATGGACTTTCAATGAAAGAAACTTAGCACTAAGGAGGCAGATAACCCACTGTACTTTTTGAAGCTCTCGATTAGACACACTGTCCAGTTCTCCCTTCTGCACAAACTTAGACACTGTGAGCCCTTCCCTATTACCCTGCTGATATTTCCCTGAACTCTCTGTGATCATTTCAAGTGCGTCTTCCTCACCAGAGGTTGTAAGTTCTTGAAAACACAGACCCCACTTGTTAACTTGGTTCTCACTTATCTGCAGTGCTTGTGTGGATGTGTGCCTGCGTGTATGTGAGTGTGTGTGTGTGTGTGTGTGTGTGTGTGTGTGTGTGTGTGTGTAGCCTACCAGGCTGACTCTGTGATGGAAGCCTTGAGGCTTTCATACAGACACACAAAAGCTCCTTTACTTCCTGGCTGCATGCATCTACCGTGTGCATGTGAGCATCATCACATGTAGAGAATTGAGAATTCTGTGATGCCAGAAGACTGGTGGGACATCCAGATGGACAGAACCTGAGAGCACCTTCATGTATATAACAGATCATCTACACCCAGGCCAATAAAAGGAAAATAGTGAACATCAGAGAAAAAGGCAAGGCAAGAAAGACTCAAGCATGGCAGCAAACATCTTTCTCTTCCCAGTGGGTGGGTTGCTACTTCCTCACTGATGCGTGAAGCAGAATGGGCTGAAAATATGACTGTCACATTTTCCCTCAGTCCCCTTATAAACAATAGCCCCTGCCGCAGCTCCTGTGTCCCCAAAAAGTACCCCAGACCTGTCCCTCTCAATCCCGCCCCGCTGTCTCCAGTGGAATCCGCTGTATGTCTTATGTCGTGAGTGACCCCATCTGCCCCAATATTTGCTCAGCTCCTTGGTTCAATAAACAGACTTTTCTCCAGACACATGCCGAGCCTCAGCTTCCAGCAAATCTGTTGAAAGCCGGGAGACCTGGAAGTGCACACTCTTCAGAAAGGCAAGATTGGTCAGTCCACTTTCCAAATGAAGGACAAGTGAGCAAGAATGGCTGACATTTTATTCGTTAGTGCAGGGAAGTCAAGGGATCGTAGTGTCTGAGCTGGAGGAGAGCTCTTTGTAGTTTTCAATGGAGTTTCTTTTTCCACTCCAGGGGAGAATTCCTCCTGTGTGTTTACTGTGAGCTGTTCTAGTCCTTTCTGAGGATTAGCTGCTCTGTGCCCCCACACAGCTTGGCTGGGCATAGACAGAGGAGTAAAGCACATCGATTCATAGGGTTTGAACTGCTTTTCATCTTTCTGTAAATGAATCTTTTAAATGTCAGCATTTTAAACCTGGCCTTTTCCAAAAAAACATGATACCATATAAACCCTACTTAAACTAAAATACATTTCTATTTTAAAAGCTCTAAAAATTTTTTTCCTGAAAATGAAAAAGAATATCAAAGAAAAAAAACAAGAAAGAAAGAAAAAGAAAAAAGAAAGAGCAAGCAAGCTCTCATGGACTAATTGCACATGAGGGAAGCTTGTTTTTGCCAATTAGATCTAAGCAACTTTGTTCCTTGAAAAATCTAAATTGTCCTTCTAAATACCATTTCTCTTCCATAGGTCTGGGACTTTGTAATACATATTTTATCTTCTGTCTGTGTATGAGAAATTTAGAGTCACTTGATATTAATCATTCTTTAAAGCAACACTGTAAGTCTGTTAAATGAGCTTTTAGAAATATGTGTTTCTGTTTAACGTTTCCCAGTTTGTTAGTTACCTGGGTGTTTCTGTGGCACACTAAGAGTTCCTAGGGGGAGGTTTTACTAAGCCCATTTCATAAATCTGGTAACTGAGACCACAGGATGCTGCGTGACTTGTATGTCTCAGGCTCTCAGACTGCAGCCCTAAGGAAGGCTTCAGCGGCTCACCCTAAGCAGTGTATTCTGTCTCTATTGAGCAAGCCAAAATAACCTACTTGCTGAGGAAACTTCTCCAGACTTCAGCTTCTTTATGTGTAAAATGGGTAAACAGTGCTTATCCTTTATTTCCACACGAAAATTCTATGGAGAGTGGAATGTGATTCTTTGGATAGCACCAAATACTGAACTTTTAAAGAGATAGCCATTGATATAATTGTTTATATGGTACTGAGGCTTGATCCAGGGCCTTTACACTGAGCTACTTCCCCATCCCCATCCTTTTAATTTTTTTTAAACAGGGTCTTGATAAGTCTAATTTGCCCAGGCTGTTTTCAATCATGGGCTCCTCCTGCCTCAGCCTTCTAGAGTGCTGAGATGATGGGTGTGAGCCGCCATACCAAGCTAACGATTATTTCTTAAGTAATGGCAGGGCTGAGTCCCACGCCATGTCGGGTGTCAAACAAGTTGTCTTCCATCCTTCCTCCAGCACAGTTAAGAAACCAGGTATAACCTGGCTAGTTCAGGGGTGTTGAAGATACTGGAAGTATTTCATGGTCTCATAAAGTAGGCTGAATACTTGAAGCTGGGTGTCACGTGTCTTCCAGTCATGTGGGTGATAAGATGATTAGCAGTCTTCTGAGGAATGATGATCAACACTGCTCTTTTCCCAGCACTGAAGCTTTCCCTACACATTTAGAGAGTATCTATCTTAGTGAGTCCCTGCCTGCCAAACAGCCACAGAGGTTCTGTCAAAATAGACAGACCTTTCCATCTGCAGGAGGAAGCCCAAGTTACCCTGTGCTAAACAGGGTCAGGTTCAGAGCCGGGACAGTCCCAGCCCTGGGCAGGAACATCCCAGTGCCCAGTCTCTACTCGCTGTTTTGCAGGGTGATGTTCAGCGGACGATCATCCAAGTGGACTTCGGCGATGGCATTGCGGTGTCTTACGTCAACCTCAGCTCCATGGAGGATGGCATCAAGCACGTCTACCAGAATGTGGGCATCTTCCGAGTGACCGTGCAGGTGGACAACAGTCTGGGGTCTGACAGCGCCGTCCTGTACTTACATGTAACTTGTATGTTATTACTGTTGTTGGCTTTTGACATACTGTAAATGTGCTGTTTTAAAACCTGACACAGCATTTCCTGGGTAGAGAAGGGGAACTGGGAGTAAGAGAGTGAAAGAGCAAAGTAAGAGAGCAGAAGGGAAACTCACAAGGAGAGCCATTTGGACCCGGGAGCATTTTACACTATCCTCAGGGCGCTGACCCTGCCTGCCTGGGACCTCTGAGATGCAACAGCTGCCCGGGGCTGGGCCTGAGAGCTGTTTGCTTGAAGCAGGAATTTGTCTTTTTTTCTCGTTTGGTCAGAAGTGGTTGAAAAGGAGGTACATGGAGAACTCAGTCAAATTAACACTTTCAAAAACACATTCCTTCCCCAATTGCTTGCTTTTGCTTTCCTACATTACATCTTACTCTTAATAATCTTTCTACACTTTTTCAAACCAAAACGTCTCTCCTGAGCTTCTGCTTGTGGATCACTTGGTGTTTGAGGGCAGTTCTGAGGGCAAGAGTATAGGCAGCGGTACAGAGGCTGGACACCCGGACTATGTAGAAAGCAGTTCCAGCGCTAAGGCTTTCCTCCATCAAGGAGTCGGAAGGCATGAGGAAGTAAGCTGAGACAGGAGTCACACCTAAGCAGAGTTCGCTATGTAGTGTGTTACAAGAAAGGTAAGTGCTTCCCTAGCAGTCCTAGAGCTAGTTTCCTTTAAACTGAAAATAGCTGTTTTCTCTCAATGGTCATGCTCACATTTAGTTCCACACTTGGTGGGTGACTCTGAACCTGTTTTTGTGCACCTGGCCCACAGAAATCATAAACTGCAGAAAGCATTGGCCAGTGAAAGGATAAGACTAGTGAGGCCCACGAGACTGGTTGTGGAAGGTTCCTCTTAACATGCTAGTACTGCATTAGTCATTCTGGGTCTTTATCTCCTTTAGACTCAGCATGGAAGTATTTACTTCAGGGAGACAAAAGCTGTCTCCCTCTGGTCTACACAAAGTTGAAATGATTCCTAGTCGGCCAACTCAGTACTCCCTGTTTTGGCTACACCTGATTACGACCTGTCTCTGTGTGCCAGCCAAGTTTGGCCCCAAAGAGACTCAAAGTATGGATTTCTTAGTTATGAAATATATTCCTGAGAAATGGAACAGTTAGAAAGCCCATACTCCAGGGATTCAGGGAGCTAAGGTGACTCTTTTGACATGTACACTCACTACATAGTAGAACTCCAGCTGAATCCCAGCACTAAAGCAGGGCAGGTGCCCACAGTGACCAGAGTAGTTTCTCCCAGCATCTGCTCTCCTTTCCATCTTTACAGATCTCCCAAGAAAGCTTGAGCTTTTAGCAAAAAAGCAGTGCTGTGCCGCATGGATCCATGGGTTTCAGTTGTGTTCCACAGGGTCCCATCTGTCTGTAAGCCACCAGCGTAATATCCTTATTCATCAGCACTTAGAGGGTGATGGCGAACTTTTTAGAGCTTTCAGTGATAACAGACAGCTGGCTGTGGCATGCATGCCATGGGTTCACCACCACTAATTCAGGGGAACAAAGGTAGTGATATCATGGGAATAATATCACCTTTTTTTATTTAAAAAAAGTTTAAAAAGAAGGAGATTAAGATAAAAGAGAACATAGAAACATAACAGTACAGGTCACAACAGAACAATTTAAATAATATAGTGTTTCACCACAAGATAACCCGACATAATAGTAGTTACCATAGTGTCTCTTTCCTTGAAATATTTGATTATAACTTCATATACTATAGCATCAAACATAACAAGACAGTGTAAAACCATTCAAGAGAATGAAAGTATTACAGAGTATTTAGAACCAACTAACAGAAAATGAACAATGCTTTCTATATTATCTCCTTGTCTATAAAAAAAATCACAACTTTTTAAAGCATTAGTTATTAGTAGAAAACAAAGCCAGCGACACAAGTAGCAATAGATTTTCTGGAGATTACCTTATCCAGCAGCATATCTCCCCCACAGCTGATCCTACAGAGAGATGTTTGCTAAACAGCTACCCCCTTAAGGAATGATAAGCACATTCTATGTCTCACCCATTTATAACGTCCCTACCCTCCTCCAGTAGATGTAAATATGGATTTAAAATTCAGTAGCACTTTCTGGCCAAAATTTCTCAGAGTACCCCATTGAGTTCCCCATGGACCAATCTACTTGGCACCCTGTGGATTCTTTTGATCCCCCACACTTGATCTTTCCTGCAGGGGTCCACCTCTGCCCCCCAAGAACTCTCCCTGGTCCATGAAATCCTGGGAGGAACAGTGTCACAGAGCTTACCTCTGCCAAGATGAGGGGCCATGAGAGTCCATGCTTTCCCAAAGGAATAAGTTTCTTTGTTCCTGTACGATTTTTCCATCCCATCAGCCTGACTGATTAGGTGAAATATTTAACCTTCACCTTAGTGGGAGATGACCTCCAGTGGAAATTCTGTGCTCTGATTTAATCTTTTAAATTATTCTGGGGTGGAGGGCTTGGATACACATGCCTACTTCCAAAATCCTTTGGAAGCCTAGCACTGGGGAAAGAACTAGCACTTGTATACAGCAGGACCATGCATTAAGCTGTTCTTGGTCCCGTTCATCTAAAACCCGTGCCGTAGCAGTCCCAGCAGGTCTGCCACTTTTGCTCTGTGTGCCTCTCCTAAAGGACCCCAAGCGCATTAGCGTGCAGACAAATGCTATATTTTCACCTCTGTGCCATAACAGATGACGGAGGTCCTTTCTTTCAGAGGAAGAAAACAAGGACCAGAGAAGCGCTATGATTTTAGCATGGTTTTACACTAAGAGGAACTCAGACTGAGAACAATTCTGAGTGGTGCTCTCAAGTGTGTAATATCTAGATGGTGTCATGAGTGACTTTTGATGCCAACGTCCAGGACACAGAGGACAGAAACAGGGAAAAATTATAGAAAAAACAACCAAAATCACAAAGTCCCAAATCACAGAGCCCTGGGTAGCTCCAGGCAGTCTAACTAAATCCAAATCCTGGCAGAGTTGCTCTATCTCTCTGAATGGACATTGATTCTTTCAAATGAGGCATAGTTTTTTGCCAAAGATTCCACCAAGCAAAATATGCAGCACCCTGTCAGCTACCGGTTTCCTCATGATCACAGGGTAGCGTGTGCGTGGCCACCAAATGGATTCTGAGGTAAAGGAGAATTAGTAGACATTGTTAGCTGCCCATTCCTTCCCTCTGTTCCTCTCTTAACCCATCCCCGAAACCTGCTGCTTGTCTTACGTACACATGCCCACCACATCCAGTGCAGGAAGATGATCTGATTCTAAATCAGAGTCTTTTCAATACGGATTTGCAAAGGTCATCAGAAACAAATGGAGCTGATGTTCTGCTGTAATGTTTCCAGCAGTGGGCCGGCAGCTCTCGCAGGGTGCCTGGTAATCTGTTGTAGCCTGACAGTTGGAAATTCCTTGGGGATAGTATTCACCGTGCACTGCTGCTTTGCAAACTAATGAGACACGTGACACAGCCAGCTTTGCCTTCATCTGGAGGGGACAGGTCTGAGAGGGTGGCTTGCAGATTTCTGCTCAGATAGCTGCCCTATCACAGCCATCTTGTGGGGAAAAAATCACCGAGGACTCTGGTTGTTTGCAGAAAGGGCGGCAGAAGACAAATGAGGTGGATGCGGTGGCCCTTCCTCAACCCACTTCCTTAGCACAGGGACAGTTTGCAGCTGTCTTTCTGCCCTCTCTCGGGAAGTGACCCCAAGCTGGCTTGAAAAATCATGTGGCTTTGCAGCTATGCCCACCCTCAAGGCATTGGTCAGCAAGCATCAGATCACAGCTGGTTAAAGAATTGTTCAAAGAGCAGCGTGTCCCTTCATTAAATAACGACAGTGTGGTGTCCCTGATCCTATCTCAGACCTACTGAAAGCCTCTTAATGTGCTCAGAACTTCGGATTGGTATGTTTTGTATGTGCTCTGAAATTGTTGGAGCTCTATTTTAGAATCTCTTCCTGGTGGTCTGAATCACTTTTACTTCTTTTAATGGCTTTTATTTCAGCATCTGGAAGAGAGAGAGAGGGAGGAAGGGAGAGAGAGAGAGAGAGGCTCACGAACAATATGATAAATGTACAATATTTAATTAAGTAGTCAGGGGTTTCCGGATTATAAATGCTCGAATTAGGCTGGAGCAGTCAGTAGTCCGTATGCGTGGTATGCACGCACGCACGCACGCACGCACACACACACTGCTCAGTTTCAGAGGTCAGCTGCTGCTTGTACATGAGAAAGCTATGCAAGAAAGGAGAAGGAAACCTACCCGGGCTGGCACAAGTCACTTCCCAGGTTTTCCTCACTACTTTTCCAGGAAGATTCGAGCAGTGGCACAGCGCCACCTGCTGTCCCTTTTGTGCATGGCACACACCTGTGTGCTGGAGCCACGTTCAGCTCTAGATTCAGTTGGTGGTTGGCTGGTGGCTCCTTTGGGGGCCTAGTGCAATCTCTGTGTAGAACAGAGGTGCATACAGATAGGTCTCTGGGCAGAAGGAACCAGGTATTTTATACCCCTGAGGAGAAGACTGTGGAAGTCTGAAACCTAAAGTTCAGACAGGTATGCAGACATAGTGTATACACACATAAGCGTAAACTCACGCAGACACGCGTGCTGTGTCCCAGGTCCCACAAGGCTAAGACACTGTGGTCCTCTTGGCTCTGCTCTTTCCCTCTGTCTCTCCGTTGCAGGTGCCCACGCATTCTTGCTATTCACCAACAGGCAGGGTACCTCCTCCTCTAAGTTCTGGCTTGCCCGGGGGCATTCCAGATAGTTTTCTGCTTCTTCAGCTTGCTGGCCAGATGTCATTTCTTCTGAGAGTCCTTCTATGACCAGTCTGTGAAAACTGCGCTCTCTCTCCTAACTCTGCTTTCTGTGTTCAGTGCCTTCTTCCCTTGGAAGTATCTACTACCCACCAAGGCTAAGTCTCTGGACACCTAAAACAACACTCGATATCTGGACACACTCAAAGCCTACTGGATGAGTGACAGGCCATAACTCAGCCATGAGACTTCCTTTTGGTCACTGCCCTAGTGACCCATAGGTATTATCCTTGCTCTGATGTTCTGGCCTAAAGAAAAAAACAACTCATGCTCATAAATGAGACAGAGCCCGCACAGAACAGAGTCAGGTTCTCTCAGCTGGCTGGTGTACGTTGGCTCAGGAGAGCTGGTGAGGGGCACCCAAGAGAGAAGGCTGAGCTCAGGGCTGAGGCTGACAGGGGCCAGGGGCAAGGAGTGCAAGAAAATGCACACACACACACACACACACATGCAGTTCTTTAACATGAGTTAAAGAGTAAAAATTACTGTGGCAATTATTCTTTGGTCTAGGGCACCCATCCACCCTCACGCCCCTACAAATTCTTAAGTCTCTGTGATCCTCGTTTCTCTCCCAGGTGTGAACTCTTGAAAAAGTTTGGATCTCCCAAGCAGTCTTATGTTTAAGTGCGCAGCATATTATGCTTGCTCACTTAAAGACTTCATCAGTTATTTGTAAAACTGTCACTTGTAAACATGTGTAACTGAGGCTACAGTCAGGAGAGGAAGGTCCATCAACAGGAAGGGGCAGAGTGCAGTTGTTCACAGCACTCTTTCTTCTCCCAAACTGGGGAAGCAGGGTGCTTTCCCTCTGGGGTGTGGCCCCGGGGTCAGGGAGCATTGCAGAGTGGGCATGGTTCTTGCAGAACAGGGGGAGCCCTTACTCCTTCACGGCTCCTCTTTCCCTTGTGTCTCAGGTCCCCTGGAGCACGTGCACCTTTCTCTTCCCTTTGTCACCACGAAGAACAAAGAGGTCAACGCCACTGCAGTGCTGTGGCCCAGCCAAGTGGGCACCCTCACATATGTGTGGTGGTACGGAAACAACACAGAGGTGAGGCTACTGCCCATGGGGTGCGGGGGGACACAGGAGACAGGAGCCCAGGAGGTGCTGGAGGAAGTAAAGGAGGATGACAGTGCACTCGCCCCCGAGTCCAGGGGTCACTCGGCTCCAGAGGCAGGAGGCTGCCCGAGCTCATGAACCCTTCTCTCGTGCCTCTCTGCCTTCCCGGATGTTAGCTTAGCAGGAGATTTCCCAAAAGTCCTAAAAGAAGTTCTGGTATTGTTACTTGACCACAGGGTCTCGGGTGGAGAGGGAGGTGTTGGAATCGGCATTCTTGGAAGCATTTGAGTCAGACAAGAGAGGAGGTGGTCACTAGAAAGAAAAAGAGACGAGGCAGGATAAAGAGAGCACCAGGCGGGATAAAGCAGCCTGTGTCCATGACAGTACCTCACCCCCACCTGCCCACACACAACACACACACACACACACACATGCACACACGCACACACACACACGCAAGGTCTCCTCACCCTGAAGCAGGTATGCTTCACATCTTATGTTTCCCTGTGCTCAGTCACCCATAATGTTCAACCCACCCAAGAGCCTTACACCTCACATCCTCAGCCCTTCCACAGACGAAGGAGGGAGACTTGAGTGTGATGGAGCCAAAGAGGTTCGCTGGGTCTCTTGCAGCTCCCTCACACAAAGGCGAAATCCGAGGCTTTGCAGTCTCTGTGTATTTCTGAATGCACGTGGGCTGGGGCTGCCTGTGCTGTTTCCTTTTGGGGCTCACTCCATGCTCACTGGGAAGGTGAAAAGTCACCTGGGCGGCAGGACTGGAGCCCCAAGGGATCCCTCGCCAGAGGCCTGCTGACTGCTGTGGTCTTGCTCTGGTAACATTGCTCCTCAATGTGTGTCTTGTTTTCAAAGAAACATGGTTCTACTCTAGAGCCAAACTCGGTTTTCCTTAAAGGTATCGTTTTCTGTGCTTGCTGGGGAGGAGAGCTCTGGAGCATGGCGGGAAGGAGCTGTGATCTAGCGCTCCCTTATTTCTCCTGAACTGATGAATGCAAAATTGGCCCTTTGGGTGCATTCTTCACAGCAGAAAGAGGAGAAATCAATGTTATTTCCTGAAAGCCGGCACTGGAAGGGAATCCCCCCTATCAGTCTTTTTTTCTGTGCCTCCTATTGTTTGTTTAAATTTTCTTTTTGTCTGTTAAGGAAAACCTAATTCTCAACAGACCCTCACACTGGGCTTCTCACACTAGGCTTCTTTAGTTTTCCCTCTGCCATTCAGAGAGATAATTGAATTTTTATTTTAAAGCTAATTAATATGGAAAAAGTGATTTGTGAGGAGTGAGTCTAGGGAGGTCGGTAGGCTAATAATGTTTTTCTCAGACTCTGGCATCTGATTGTGTTAGAGCCACCACTTCCCAACACTCTTTTCTTACATCTACAAACCACAACCCACAGTGCAATTAGTACTTGTTTTCTTAGAAGCTACTTCCAGTAATGTGTTGATGGTACATCTCAGAGAAGGCCGGTGCCCATGTCCACTCCTGTATAACTAGTATCCACTGCTGGTGTCCAAGGTTTCTGCATTTCAGTGTAGTTTTGTATAAGTACTACACCCTGCAGAGGAACACTGGGGCAGTGTGGATTTCAGTGGCCATTGTTAAATTTGGATTAATACAAGCCCTGTGTTTTCATTTGATTTGTGTGATGTCTTGGATGAAGGATCTGCTTAACATGGCAGATGATGCAGGAAGTGAGGCTTGCATCTCACCAACAAGCAAGACCTACTGATTTGCCCACCCTGAGTCAAGATGACATCAGGAGGGAGGAGTCGGATTCCCAAGGAATGGGGCAGAATCTTGCTGGGTCATTGCTGCAAGAGCCAGCTTCCCTTCTGGCCTGGCCTACAGAAAATGGGGAGCCACAGAAAGTTCTGAGCTGGTGCCTAGGAAGAGCCTCTGTGGAATTAGTGGGTACTCAGGTGTGGTGACTGTTTTTGCTGTAACTATGTCTTGTTCACTGTAGCCCTTGATCACCTTGGAGGGAAGCGTATCGTTCAGGTTCACTTCCGAGGGGATGAACACCATCACGGTGCAGGTCTCCGCAGGGAATGCCATTCTGCAGGACACGAAGACCATCGCAGTGTACGGTGAGTGCCTTTCCTCGCTGTGCTGTGCTATGCTGGGGGGAGACTGGCTGATACCATGGCGCCAGAGTCCCACCAAGCCCTTCACTAGAGAACAGGCAGCAGCTGACCAACAGCTCCGGTGGAGTCAGTTTCCTCCTTGGGGAAATGTGATCCACCAGCAAAAAGGGCAGTCAAGGAACCCTGGGAAGTTTTTTGTTTTCCTAAGTCTGGTTCATGTGTGGTCATTCATCTCAGGTAGGGTAGGCTAAGTTTTCATTATGAGCATGGATGAATCCTTTTACTGGAATGTAGGTGGTGTTTGAATAGGTCAAACCAGCATGAAAGAAAATGTCTAATTATGAGGCTGCTTTGAGAAGTTGAACTTTAAGAAAAATCTTTCATTATCTAAATACCTTTTAAATCTCTAGCATAAATTTGTATTTCACACACACACACACACACACACACACACACACACACACACACACAAATACCTCTGCTTTACTGAAAGCCATGGAAGGGTCATATCAGCCGGATGGCATAGCCATAGACTGAGTGTGGGTTTAAACAAACACCTGTGCAAAACAACTTTGTGATCAATGAGGGAAAATGAATACAGTTGGAGAATTAGGCAGAATGAAAATTTACTCAGATGGAAAGGAGAGATCATTGCCTGAAAATGGAAGGCAATTCAGGTTTATTCAGATTGATCCCATTTTGGTAGGATGTTATTTTCTTTTTCTCCATAAAAGCTATTAGATAGAAATTGTGTTGCTAGTAGGTGGTAAAAATGTAAATGTTCATTATTCATGTAGCTATGGTATGTGTGTCATGGAAAAATGAAATTTCAAAAATAAGAATGTAAAATTAATAAGGATAAGAAATGATCTGCAGGAATAGAAAGAGAGGAAGAGAAGGAGATAGATGTTAGCTTTATTCCTAATCTTATCAACTGCTCAACTGCCACAATTAGTTGAATCTGATGAGATAATTCAGGAGTAGATTTCCTTGTGGGGAGTCAGATTTTAATTTTTACTTTTTATCTTGCCAATTTGACTTTCAAAACCAGACAGTGATCTGTAAGCAACTTTGAGAACATTTAAAAACCAAAAGCCAGGGCCACTTCGCCATGCATGGCTAGCTTAGTGTTAGAGTTTGTAATTTTCCACCTTTCTCTCCCTCATAAAAAGTCTCAGTCAGACCAGAAGAGCTGGTAAACCGGGGGTGAGTGTCCACTGACGTCCATCAGTGTGGTGAGCAAACAGTGGCTGTGGGTATGGGAGAATTTTCACTACTCTTCCCCTTCCTGTCTCTTCTGAGTGTTGTCATAACAACATAAGTTTATATGAGACAAATTACTTATTATTATTATTATTATTAGACAAAGATAAAGCACTCACTCCTCCTAGTAAGTCCTGGAGTTGGGCTTCTAACACAGCCCTCCCAGGCCCAAGGCCTGTAGTAGAAAATGGCCCTTGTTAACTGACTTTCATGTCTTTTCTACCAAGACACTTTCTCCTCATTCTCTCTCCTGGAGGTCACAGATTGCTCTCACGGACACTGACCCCTGAGCGGACAGATGTTCTTGTTCACATGTATGAGTAGTGAACTCTTCTTAGAATCGCAGAGACAGTTTTAAATCCATAGAATCTGTGGGCTTTTCTGGCCCTTCATTTTACAGATTATCTCTGTTTACAGATGGGACAATGTGAGATAAATACAGTGGACAAGCTTAGAATTCTCAATCCGGGGAGAAGATCTTACTCACTTTCTTCCCCCTTGCTATTTCTCATTCTTCCTCTTTCTGAAGTTCCTTTCTTAAAGGGTAGGTCCCCCTCTACCCTTTCCTACTGGATCTTTTCCTACTCCTTAAAGTTTTAGCTGGGGAATGTTTTCTTCTCTCCGCTAACGAAACTCCTGAGCCATCGGCTTCTGGGATTCATGTTCAGCCATGAGTTGCCCAGTGTATAATAGAGTAATTTGAAACTTTCAACGGCAAGTGTGTCTTTTTAAAGAAAAATCACACCAGATAGAGTTAAGCACGTGGCCTTAAACTCAGCTGACCTGAAAGGCAGAGATTTTTAAATGCTAGGGTTTGCTAATAGAAGAACAGAGGCCACTGGGAAGTAGGAGGGCTCCGCAGTGTGATTAGGTCGTTGGCAGTCATGAAGTGTCATTTCCCGAAGTTAGACTCTCACCCTCCTGGAGACAGTAAATGTAAGGCCCCGTTTTTCTTGAACTCCATTTCATTTTAAAAGGAAAGACTCCCCAGATCCTAGAGTCTTGCAAAATTTACATCTCAAACAGACATGAAGGAATTTACAGCCACCATTTTTCTGGAGTAGATGCTCTAAAGGAAGCCAAGAAAAGCCAGGCAGTCTGATGTGGGACACATCCAAAGCTTAGGCAAAGGGAGGGACCAGGCTGGCCATCATGATCAGAGCAAAGGACAGTCTTACTGGCAAACTGGAGGAGGAGGATCTTTCTGCCTACCCCACACAAGAGACTGGAAGAAAGAAAATGTAGTTTGTGTTCTTCCCCTTAATTTGCTCCAGGGCTCCTATTTGCCTTTAAATAACACAACTGTACACAGGTAAAATTCCTCTCTTTCAGCAGCTGCAAAAATGTCACATTATGAGTTCTTACCCTTCTCGTTTGCCCTCACACACCGCCTTGGTGGGGTGATCTTGGAGCCTTTTGCAGCCCCCCTCTCCACTTGGTTTCCTACGCTAAGTGAGCTTGGAGGGAGGTGCGATCCTGGGTCCTTTTACCCACATTAGCATCTTCCCTTGAGGATGAAGTCACCGCAGCTTGGTAAGAGGTGGGGCGAAAGTGAGATTGACATAAACTTCTGACCTCAGAGCAGTGTGGGTACTCCACAGGTGACCACAGTGCTGCCCTTCATTTACCACCACACCACCGATCAGTATGCACTATATTTCCTCCATCAGAGCTGATTCAGTTGAATTCACATAAGGGAGCAGTGACTCTTCAGATAGCAACAGGGCGACAGCTGCAAACACACAGCTCTACTGCAGAATCTTCGGAGGAGGTTTCTGCTGACATCTTAGCATCGTTTACTTAATAAACGTTTGCTAATTAAATGATGCATAGGTAGTAGTGAAAATCCTGTGGCATACCAGGCACAGTCCTGAAGGCTGGAACACAGGGTCCTCGTGCTCTAGGAACTTATGCTTAACTTGGGGAGAAATACAATGAAAACAAAAGATAAAATTAACACCAAGTAAGAAGAAGAAGAACAGGACAGGGTTCGGGGGCCGGTAGGTAGTAAGTGATCTGGGGGTGCCAGTCAGAAAGCTGTCTCCAAAGAGGGAGCCCCCATGAGAAGGCAGCGGGTGTGCTGCCCTGTGGGCAGGAAGGAGTGAACTGGGGAGGAAGGAGGGTGGAGGGTGGAGGAGCAGGAGGGACAGGGCTCTGGGCACCGGGTGCAGGGCAGAGCTCTGCATCAGGCTACCAGGAACCACGAAGGACTTGGCAGGAGTCTGGGTTTTATTCTAAGTGCAGTAAGGCCCGCTTAGCTGGTTTTAGGGGAGAGCGAGTCTGCCCTGTGCCAGGGTCATGGGTTATGGGACATGGAGGCCACAGAGACATCACTGAGACTTCCAACTGCAGGAAGTGTAGCTGACCAAGACCTGCAGACTGGTGCGGCAGAAACTCATCGCTGTTTGAGATCCAGGGATGCCCCTTCCAGGGACCGTCCCAGCCCTGGATGAAGGCTTAGGGTACAAAGGCTGACTCCCTGGATCAGAGAGGGTGCTCCTTCCCCCCAAGGTTGGCTCAGGGACTCTGATCAATCTACACCCAGCCTGCCTCCCCGTCACCGTCCTGGGTGATGCACCCAGTGTCTGAACACTCCCAGGCCTCTCTGGGTTGCATCCTATTATCTCCCGCACACCGTTCCACTGAAGAAACCCTTGCTGTTTAATCACCACCCTGCATGCTGGAGGATCCAGACTATCTCAGGGGCTATTGGGGGGAAAAATGGCAAAATCTCTGACTTCAGGAGCTTAAATTTGCATTAAATAAAACCTTCACAGAAACAAAAGATGACAGTGGATAACTATAATCATAAACATAGATTAATTATAAGTTAATCATGTAATAATTATCATTAAACAGATATATAGTGATAATAAAAGCGTGTGTTAAGCACAGTAGTGCCAATAAAAATGTGGTCAGAAGAATAATCAAGCAGAGAAAACTTTTATGAGAATTTGAATGTTTTTTACACATAGACAGTGGAATGAATGAGCATTAAAAGCAGAGAAAGAGGTCATGCAAAGGCCCTGAGGCCACAAACATGCCATGCACAAACCTGCCTGAGGCCTCTGATCAGTTACCCTTCAAGCATGCAAGGTCTAGAACTGCGGCTAATGCAGAGTCTGCAGAGCTGGGCATGGCAGGCAGAGATCAGGGCTTCAGCTTCAAAAATGATGAGGAGCTATTGAGATAACAGGGGCAGGACAGTGAATTTGTCTTTTAGAAAGTTCTGTCTGGCTCGTGAGTGTGAATGGGAAGGACTCTCTCCGAAAGCTTGGCGTACCCTGCAGTTCTTACTGCCTGGCAGATCTCTTTAACCCACTTCCGGTTGTATCCACAGAGGAGTTCCGCTCGCTCCGCCTGTCCTTTTCTCCAAACCTGGATGACTACAACCCAGACATCCCCGAGTGGAGGAGGGACATCAGCCGCGTCATCAGGAAGTCCCTGGTAGAGGTGAGCACACAGGGTCCCTTCCTGGACTTGGACACCTTTCCTGTCTGTCCTGGAAGAACTTGGCAGAGAGAAACCTGAAGGAGCGGAGCTCTGGGAAGCCTGGCTAAAGAGGCTGGGTCCTCGAGGCGGAGCCCAGCCCCGCAGACCTGGGGAGGTACAGGAGTGGCAGACTCTGTACCCAAGGCCTTTGCTACCTCTGGAGCTTATTCTGCTTAGAAAAGAAGTACAAGGAATTCGCATCAGCCCCATGGCAGAGTTCGCAACTGGGCTGCTTCTCATGAGTGCATGTCAGCTGCTGTGCCCACTGCTGTGCCCAAGAGGAAGAGACCACCCTCTGTGTGTCCTCAATGGGCCCTAACTGTTTCCTGAGGACACAGCTAGGTGGGAGCATGTGGGATGTGACGGAAGTCTTAGTTCTGTGTCCTTCTTCTTGTGAAGACATCCTTTCCTCCGGTGCCAGCTCAGTTTGCAGAAGTGGCCAGGGGTGCAGAGAAGGAATTTCCCTAGACTCCTCATAGTTAATAACAGACAGAGCTGAAGAACTGAAGTGCAGGGCCTTGGTCTAAAATCTGGATTTTTATGATATGAGGAAACCTCCTAAGTCTCGAAAGGTGTCCGGGCAAGTACCACGGTGGCCTGTCACCCTCTCCTGGAAGCTGCCACTGATGATTAGGGAGGTGCCTTTGCAGTCCCTCCGCTCTTGCCATTCTGCCTCAGCAGGTGAGCAGAGGAGATGCTGCTCCTGAGGCTGCCTGGTCTCAGAGCCTGAAACCCAGGAAACGGGAGGTGAACTGACTTTCCTGCAGCATCTTCCTAGCCCAACAGGAAAATCAACTTAGCTTCCTTTACATTTTCCTCCTACCTGCACAGGGCATAAAGGCACTGAGGTGCCTCTATTGGAAGAGAAAGGATTAGTCTGCCTCTCAGCCTGCTCCTCATACCGTCCTCTCTGTTGATGGTCACTTCAGCCTATGCAGTGTTCCAGGCTCTCCTCTGGACGCTTTGCTTTATTTGTCCACGTTGAATCCAAAAGTGAGCCCCTGTGTGGGTATTGTTTCTATACCATTTCCTCAGTGGGGAAGAACCAAGCGACATCAGTGAGAAATCAGGGTGGGGACTCAGACCTTGAAAGTTGGGATCTTGAGTTCATGAATTCCTATCCATTTCAATCTATACCTGTCCTTCCATTTGTACAGGGAGAAATAGTGACGGGTGGAATATTGGGATGGAGAAAAGATATTTTTATGCAGTGCTGAACAACTTCAGTCTTGTTTTGGTTTTCTGGCTCTCAGCTGCAAAGCAGGATGTTATTGATAGTTCATGTTTATGGCCACCAGGGGGTGCAGCTCCTAGACTATAGGGCTAATTGCACTAAGGCCTTGCCCTTGGAGCTGTCCGTGGAATGACAGCTGATTCTCTCCCCTGCTATCTAAGGGAGAGTACTTGTGTACTTTAATGAAATCAGGAGAGTACTTGTAGGCTTTAATGAACTCACCGCCTGTCTCCTTCAGCTCTAGGGACCTATGTCCCTGAAGGTCTCCCAGACAGTTGTCCAACTCCCCCAGGTGATTTATCAGCCAGGCATTAGTTCAGCAGTGACCAGCGGCTGGGCTGATTTCTTTCTGCTCACTCTCCAGGGATCAGGTGCCCTGGGCCTCCACCTCCCCAACAGCTGTCCAAAGGGCTAGAAAGTACTGCTCATCAATATTTCTGGGCGGACGTATAGTCTGATCAGCTAAATGCAGAATAAGTGTCAGCTCAGCATCTTCAGCAGAGGGTGTGGGTGGGGGGAGGTGCTTAACACCTTTCAGTTTCCAAGGGACCTGGCCTGAGCAGCAGCTGGCCCAGCCCCTGGTCTCCAGCACCCACCTGCCCTTGAGGTCCCTAAGATACTTGGCCTCTTTTTAGAGTCCTACAGAGCCACATTGCCAAGGGAACCCCAATAATACTTATGAGAGGTGCAGCGTACAGTCATCTTGTTTGTAGATTTCTCCCTACTCATATTGTGGTAGAGTTAGGTATAAAAATGGCTGCTAGGCCCTTTCTAAGTTGGCTTTTGCTGTTGATAAGTCACAATGACAACTTAAATCAAATGCCATTCAGTAAACATTTTTTAAATGTATAACGAGAATGCCTGAACTCAGTCTGAGTTTACCACACAGTAGGGGCATAAAGCAGGAGTCAGATGGGAGCCAGTGTTGGTGTCAAGAGCAGAGAGGCACAGAGCAAGGCTGGTACCATCATTGGCTTCTCATTCGTATCATGCTTCATGGGTACCCCCCCATGTCTTCCTAAAGGCTTTGCATTTACCTTTCTGTAGCTCCCACCTTTCCTGGAATGGAGAAAGATTCACCACCCAGACCCACATTCAGGGAGAGGATTCTGGAGGTCGTAGGTGCCTCCAGGCAGTGAGGGGCCACTGCAGACCTCAAGTGCACAGACAGGCTGAGGGTGGGTACCAAAAGATGTTTTTGCAGGAACAAACTAGTATGGTCACTGGGGTGTAGACATCAGCTTTTCAAGTTCTTGCAAAATGACTTGATCTAACAGGATGGAAAGTATAGTGTCAAATCCATGGCATCAAGCTCAGCTATCTATCTATCTATGAAAGGCCCCTCCCTGTTGCCTCAATGCAAAACAAGGATTTTCAAGGGTGAAAATAAGAACTTAGTTTTATGTTATGTCTTTTGGAAGCCAGACACAAACAAGGAAGTGAAACTCTAATTAGTCACAAAGATGGAAATTGGGATTATAATTATTGACTGGAGAATCATCTAGAGAGAGCACTCAAAGAAATACATCAAGACACAGCAAGTGCAAGACCAGAGGAAGTCGGTCCGTGAGCAACAGAGCATGACCATATGAAGGGCTTGGAGTACGTCCTGCAGTAGGGCTGGTCCTCAGGTTCTGGTGCCATGGAGATTCCCCCAGGGCTGGACTTTGGAGGAGACCTGCTTTGTTAGATGATTAGGATGTGGCTGGTAGCTTGAAGGGTGACTCCAGTGGGGTAATGAAGGGGGAGGACAGGGTAGTAAGGGGCGGATGCCAGAAGTTAGCGAGAGAAGGTCCAGGTACTGGAGGCCTCTAGAGCTAACACTGAACCCCCGGCATACACCCCTGTGTTTTGCTCTCACTAAAAAGCAGGCATTGCTGTTCCTGCGTTTTGTTGAAGGAAGGGTGGGTGCAGGAAAGATAAACCATTAGGGTGAACTTTCCCAGGGTGCAGTCAGGATTAGGCTTCAGCCTATCTTGACTCTGAGCCTGCACTCAGAACAGAGCTGCATCTTGGGGCCTTCCTGCCTGGGGTTCCAGGCCTGCATCCCCCACACTCCCAGCATCTTCTGCCCCCACCCACCCCTTCTCATTGGTCCCCCCCTGCAGGACTCATCTGACCCTCTGTCTCCTCCTCAGGCCACAGGGGTTCCAAGCCAGCACATCCTGGTGGCCGTGCTGCCCGGCCTGCCCACTGCTGCGGAGCTCTTTGTTCTGCCCTATCAGGATCCTGCAGGAGAGAACAGAAGGTCCCCTGAGGATCTGGAGCAGGTGAGTCCCCAGGGAGTCGTGTTCAGCTTCTTCCTTCAGTGTGAGCCACCCAATTAGCCACTCCAGGGATCTTGGGGAGTCTGGGCTTGAGAGTGACAGGACCCCATGTTGGGGGAGTCTTTGTCTCTCTGCCTTCCATTTCCCATCCAAACTCTGGTGACCCTGCTGCAGCCTCACCTAAAAACACCTGGAAGGCGTGCACACTGTGCTGGCTGACTGATTCACAGGTGAATGTGCTGCACTGTTTACTGGATGTGCTTTTTTACTTAAGCACAAAAGTGTCCAGTGTTGTAAATAAACAAAAGCAAATAGTGACCAGTACACAGACGAGGAACCGGTGTATAGCTTGCTTTATCTACTTGCATCAGAAGAGGGTCCTGGCTGGGGTTTAGCCCAGTAGCAGGGCATTTGCCTGGCCTGTGGGGGGCCCTGGGTTTGATCCTCAGCTCCAAAAAAAGAAACGAACTGCCATGCAAATCCAATGACGTATGCATGATCTTTTTCTTAAAAGGTGTGACTTTTTAAAACTCATTAGTTGTTCAGTCATCACTGTTAAGAAAATCCATTTTGTATTCATAATAAAATGAGTGGCATTGTTTCTGGAACACATACAGGGTATATGAGGACCACCTTTTCCTACTTTCTAGCACTTCTTGAGCATTGAACACGTGTGTGTGTGTGTGTGTGTGTGTGTGTGTGTGTGTGCATGCATGCATGTGTGTGTTTCTGTCTCCTGCCTGCCTGCTTTGGTTTATTCTCATTTCTCTCATTTTATCTTCAAACAGCTCCCCTGTCTCCAGAGTGAGAATTGTAATCTTCTTCCTCCTCCATTCAGTTAGAATGATCCCAGTCTTGAGCTGCTATTCCAGTAGAAAGTTAATGATCTTGGTTTCTCAATTCTTCTAGGGATGTAGGTTGTAAAAGGGATTCCTCTCGAAAATGAAGTCAGTACAGGCTATGGGGTACTTGGAGCTTTTTAACTTACTCTGAGTAAACCCCGCATCCAGCCCGTGATCTCTGGCTCTTCCAAGACCTCACCAAACCTCCTTATTACCAACAACCCCAGATTATAGCATTGCCCCCCTCTTGGCCTACTCCTCCTTTCAACTGCCACTTTCTCTCCTGGCAGAAGACTCCGGACTCTAATTTTCTCCATGTGCAGGTAATGAAGAGCGCAGTTGCCTTAAAAAACCCTGTTGAACTCACTTCCTAGTACAGTGCAGCTGGAGGGTGGCAGGAGGTAACATACTGATTTGCTTCTCAGCTTGACCTCTCCCTCCCTGACTCAGCCCTCCATTACAGTCTACAGATTATTATCTGCAGTGCAATTTGGTAAGAGAAAAAAATGCATTTTTTTATCACAGAAGTGCTGAGACTCTAGGGGGAAGTAAATCCTTATCCAAGACCCTTAAGGTGAACTTTTCCAGCTGTTCCTTCTCTGGCACACTCAGGAGCTTCCCACAAAATCCAGGTTATCCAGTATGAAAGGCGGTTGAGAGTCACAGCCAGCTATTTCCCAAGCACCACATCATCTGGCCATCTTTATTCTCACCCTCCTGGGCATTTTCACAAGGCATAGAATTTTCTAGATGACTACTTGAGTGGAACCGTGGAAAGAAAAGGTCTGATATGTGAAATGGCTCACACTCCTCTGGGCTGTGTCTTTCTCTGACTGCCTCTTTCTCTGGGCTTTTTTTCCCTCTACCCCTGTTTCTTCAGAGTTCTGTGCTCCTTCACCACCATCAGGGATCATTCAAGCAGTGATCTGAAGGCATGGGCCTTGCTCAAAAGCTATCTGACTTACTGTTTGGAACACTTGTAGGGAGCCCAGTCATTTTGGTAGGAAGATCTCAGGTTTAGAGAAGTATGAGCCAGATTTCTAGTTTAAACTCTGATATTTGTGGTTTTACTTTATGGTTGAGAAAAGAAAGTAAGGGCCGGAATCAAATAACTGTGAAAGTCACAGCAATCCCGCCACATGCTTGAGAGGACCAAAGAAATGATACAGCAAATTACTAGAGGCTCAGCAAAAGATAAATGCTGTTGGGATCTGTTGGGAGCCGCGTCTGTGATAGCTCGCCTTGCGCGGCGGACGTGCGGCCTGTGGTAAAGAGTGAAGCCTGAGGTAGATTGCCCCTCCCATCGAATATGTTAGTTTCCTGCTTACCGCGTAAACAACCCGCTCAACAATATAGTCTGCCTGGCAACTGATGATGTTAGCCAATCAGCTTGCCTTGCTTACTTTAACATGATTGGACACTGTACCCGTATATATACCGGTGCCACCCCTGGGCGGAAGAAGAAGCCAGATAGAAGCCCGGAAGTAGAAGCCCAAAAGGAGCCGCGGAGAGCGGACCGGTAGAGGCTTTGGGGCAGGCTGAAGCACAAAAGGAGCCGCGGGGAGCGGACCAAAGGAGGCTTCAGCTGGGAGAACCCAGGGCAGGCTGTACGGAGAAGAAAAATAAAAAGAAAAGGTTGTCCACTACCAGACTGTGTCGTGTGTCCTTCCTGCCGGCCGGGAGCGGACATCGACAGGGATCTGTACCTAGATCCCCAGCCCCCCCCCCCAAAAGGGTACACGGCAAAGGCTAAAAGGAGTGAGACACATGGCATGGTCTTTAGGGCTCCAAAAGGACTGAAATCTTCACCAGAGTTCATAACTCCGCTAGCCAGCCGGCCGGCTGACCCTTGGCAGCCTGTATTTAATCAGAACAAGCAAAGAGCTGAGTGGACAATGGAGGAAACCTGAGCAGGATCTTGGGAGGGGTTCAAGGACTCCTCAGAGCAACAGAAGATGCTAATTAAGGAAAACTACCCAGACAGAAAGTCTCCAGGGGGCCTCAGCTGTGGCCTATCTTGCCCACTGAGGCTTCTCCTCATTCTCAGTTTAATCATGTCCAGGCCACGCCACAGCCCTGCATGTGTACTCAGCTTCAATGGCTCCAAAAAAAAAAAAAAAAAGCTAAATAGTTATATTTATGGTCACTCTGGAATAGGAGCATTTAGGAAAATGCAAAAATGCTTTTAGGCCTATCATGGATTGTTTGGTATAGTGAAGGACCTGTTGGGGGAGAGGATACTGAGGGTAAGGGAAGACACTAAGGAATGGAATTTCACAAAGAAGAAAACAAGCACAAAAAGAAAAAGAAAGAGTGCACGTTAATGACACACAAGTTGCCCGGGTTTATGGTAGAAGATGGACCTCTGCACCTTTAGAGGAAAATATGATCCCAATTAAATTGGATATCAGCCTATCCTTGGATCCAAATCAAAGCAAATAATGCAGTGACCACACAGAGTCCATTTGGAGGCAGTGTCCTTTCAATGGAGAAAGGACAAGCAGAATAGAAAATGGAAGAGTATATCAGCAACCTTTTAGGAAAACAAACATTCAGCATGAAGTATCATTGTTAAGAACATTTCTGAATGCTCACATGACCTGCCCTATAAGTCCTGAGTTTTAAATTAAGGAATTGGATGTAAATGTGCCCTGGAGTTCATGAGGAAGGTCATTGAGCTGGGAAGACTGAACAGAAGGTTGAATAGGTAAGAGGTAGGCAAAAGGAGTTAAACAGGAGAAAGAGGAACTTAAAGGTAATGGCAGTGAATCCAAGGGAAAGAAATAGCTATGGCGAATTTGTTTCTTCCGGTGCATTCTTAGAAACACGATTAGTACTTTAATCAAGCTGAATGCTCTTTGCTAAGAAGGAATAGGACAGGGTGAGCTGGGGTTAAATAGAATTTGATAGTCGGCCTCATGCTTGCCTGTGACTTCAAATAAGAGCTGGCATTGTAGGGAGCTGGGAGAGATCTTCCTGCACTAAATACCACAGGGAGATTCCTCGGCTGCTCTTCTAGGGGAACTTAGGGTGACAGGGTCCGGACCGATGCACTGGGTCGTCACCTAGGCGAGGCCCTGTCTAGATGTGGCAGAGTGGTGCTTGAGTTCATCAGAGTTTGCACGTTTCGTTCCAACCTCATGGGTCCGCATTGGTGGACTGACCCACCATAGCCTTGAAACTGCTACTTTTGCCAAAGTTTATTTCAAGTGGATGTCTGTAGTTTGTAACCCCCTTCCATGTTTCATAAATTTACCAACTGCTCAGTTGCTCTTAAACATTTTCCATACATCAAAAGTTTGATGTGTACATTCTCAGAATAATCTGAAAATGTTTTGTCCTAAAGATTTCATTAAAAAGCGTCATGTTTGTTGACTATGTGTTCTGGGCCACTTCCTCCTGGGTGCAGTTGAGGACAGTCTCCAACGTAGGCAGGCTGGTGAGCACGGAGGAAATGGGATATGTGTCATTCCAAGCAGAGGAATTCGGTGCTAAAGACTGGAGAACTCCTTTTCCTCCCCAAGATGCAGTGAGTACAAATATTTTCGGTGGTGGCTTTGCCTGCCTAGCTTGCTGAGTGGTCCTAATGAGTTGCTTGCCACAGTGGATGTGCCACAGGAACAGGAAAGATGCCGTTGATGGCAGCCTAGCCTAATGTCTTCTGGCTGCTGCACCCGATCTTCATCTTTTTTATAGGAGAAAGCAAGGAGAATCTGTGGTTTTCTAGTAGCACGCCTCTCCACAGTGTCCTTTTGCTGGTAGCCTTTCTGGTGTTTGGGTCGAATACCTGCCATCCTCGGTGGTGATAGCTTAAGTGGAGTGTGGGCTGCATCTGAATCACAAGTCTCTCCTACTGAACAGGCATTTACCAAGGATGACCTGTTGTTTCTACGGCCATGCTTGTGTAGCCTTAGTAGAACAGGAAATGGAGTGTGTGGGAGAATAGCGGAAGAAGGATGGCAATATAAAGGATAAATTAAATTTGCTAAGAAAACACACTTTTCTCTGGACAGCAAAAGAGAAGGAAAGAAATTCAATTTGCTCCAGCTGGTTCTGTCTCCCTGTAATCACATCTTATTCCACTTGAGTCTTCACAGGCAAGCATTTGCTGTTGGCATTTAAGTTTCTGCTATGCTTTTCTGTAGACTGCAGTCTCTTACT